GAAAAGAGAAATTTAAGGAGTAATCTGCACACTGTGGTCCTCAAGGAAGGAATCATTGCCTCCCCCCCCCCCACCAATGACATTCTTGGAAATGCAGCTCCCTGCTGTTTAAAGCTAGAGTACAAACACAGCAATCTTAAAATCAATTGTACCCTAAGTCCCCTGGCTCAGAAAACACAAAGCTAATATCTAATAATACTGTGGGTCTGCAGTTTCACAGGTAAGGAGAAAGTACATGCGGAGCTGTGAATGCTGGTGGAGCAAAAATAAAAATGGAGAAGATTTTTCATATACCTTGCAGCATAAGTACAGAAGGAAAGCATGGCATCCATTTAGGTAAAGATAAAGACATCCCAGAGAGTGAAAGCATGTCTACACAGCCCACAGGAGCAAGCCTCCCAACCCAGGTCGGCAGACTTGGGCTAGGGGGCTCCCACTAGCGCTCTAAAAATAACTGTGTAGACAAGTGCTTCAAAGTTGCCGCTTAGGCTCTGAAGCCCACCCCCATCCTCAGGCTTGCTTCCACAGGCCGTGTAGACACCCCCTAACGGCCTTGCAGTCTCAGGAGGAGCTTGTGGTGTATCTCGGGGCTGTGATGCTCACGTTTCACAACCCCAGTGAAGAAGCAACGTTTATCCAACAGAAAGTGTCTGAGGCCCTGATGTTGAAAAACAAGCAAGTCACTCTCCAGTATTGACTGTCATTAAAAACAACTAGCAGCGTCCTCTGTTCTTTTCAGCTTAATGTTAGAAACTTATGCTGCGCGAGTCCTCCTGATCTAATCCTAGCAGTGTGCATTAGGCTAAATCTCCTTAATTTACTGATTTCCTCTTATTCTGGAACAGGAAGCTGGAAATGTGTCCTCTGCAATGCCACCTCGCTTCTTGTAAAACTCTCCTGTGCCGTGATGCCTCTGAAAAACACAAAAATGGTTAGGCTGCTGGTGTGATGTGACTCTTGCTGGCAATGCCAACCAGGAATGTGTCACTGCTCCTTGTGTTGCCCCCATCTGCTTGTTGTATCCACTTGTTGTCTCTTGTCATATTTACGTTGTAAGCTCTTTGGGGCAGGCACTATCTTTTGTTTCTGTGTTTGTACAGCATCTATCACAATAAGGCCCCAATCCCTGCCTGTGGCCCCTAGGTGCTATTGCAGTACAGATCAATAAACAGTGATGCTTGCAAAAAAGGTTGGCAGCTGGCCCAAATTGAGGCAGATAAGGCTGACCACAATTTCCATAAGGGGCAGAACAAGTAGTACTCTGGCCACTTCTCCCTTAAACTCAGCTCCTAGAATTGTTTTAATAGGGGAAGGAGCAACAAGTGCTTCAATGACGATTAAAAAGAATGTGGAAAGTGAGTAAACTTCGATACTGAAAACTAGGGGCCTCAAGGTAGGATCTTGAGAGGATTTAGGGTGGGTTTGTGCAGGGGGTCTGGAACAATTTGTACGGGGGGTGCTGAGAGACATTGAACCTAACTGTAAACCCTGTATATAATGGAATCTACTTCAAGCCAGAGGGGTGCTCAACAGAAGTACTGACTCAGTCTGCAGCCAGCTAGCTGGCAGTGAGCTTGTAACACCTCTACTGCCCTTATCAGTAGCCCAAGTGGCCCTCCTCCAGACAGCGGTGAACTGACCTGGTCTTTCCAGAAACCAAGCAACCTCTAGCTACATTTTTTCCAGATGTTGAACATCAGCCCTTGGTGGCTGTGAGGGGACTGTGAATAGCCTGTGATTTTTGTTTTTGTTATGGCCACAAGGATGGTATGTCCAATCTTCTTATTATATGTTCCATTCTATGCATCCGATGAAGTGGGCTGTAGCCCACGAAAGCTTATGCTCTAATAAATTTGTTAGTCTCTGAGGTGCCACAAGTACTCCTGTTCTTTTTGCGGATACAGACTAACACGGCTGCTACTCTGAAAACTATGAATTCTGTTACTGTAGCTTTCCCTCTGGGTTGTTTCACCTTTTCTGTCATTTATGGTGCTCATTGGGCATGTCTGATTTTGGAATCAGTCATCTCACAGTCTCCATTTCCACATTCTCCATGTTTTCCTTGAAGGACTGACATATAATAAAGAGAAAACAACTTCCAAGTTGAGAACAGAGATGCTTTTTTTGAAGTGTTTTCTTTATTCCAAAACTATAGATGAACAACTTCCTGAATATTCATTATCCCTTCAAAGAAATTGCCCTCAAAGTTGTCTGATTTTGGCAAAGCTTGTTTCTGATTTCACTGCTGGAAGATTTGAAGTAAAAAAACAATGCATAGAATAGATACCACATATATGTTCAATATCTTACTATAAGAGTGTCATGAGAATTAAGCCTTAACACATCCTTATTACAGTATTAGAATAGTTTATCTATTGTTACACCATGCATACTGTGCTACTCAGATAATGAATGCTACCAATTCTTGCTAACACAAGAGCAGAAGAATTTAAAGAGCACTTTGGCAAAGTATCTTAAAGCTAATGGAGACAGATTCCAAAGCTCTCTTCTGAAACATCTTGGGGGAGGAAAAAAATTGACAATGCTGAAAACAAGAACATGAAGCCAATGTAGAAATAGATGATTTTTTTTTCCGGTAGGCTAAGAAATGCGGCTTTGAAAAATGCTTGGTTGTATAAATCGAAAGCTAAACCTTAAAGCAGGATTAAGCTTCCACTCAGAATAATGCAGTCAGCTACAACCAAGTTTTTCAAAAATCACAGGAAACTTTTGTTTCTTTAAACTACAGTAACTGAGCATTAATTTTTATTTGTATGGATTGTATTTTCTTAAGTAGTATCTATTGTGTTTATGCCATAGAGGGTAACACAGAATAAAGCGTTTTACTGATGTAACTGTATCACACCTCAGAGCCAAATCCAGCAGCACAAAAGGAACTTTAAAGCTGGCCTTACTGTCCTGTTGAGGTTGGCTGGAGAAAAGGGGATGAGGCAAAGCATAAAAGTAACTCACCAGTTCCCAGCTGCTGGGCCATAGGCAGTTGGGCAAAAATGGCCACAATTTAGAGCAACCCTGGAAGGCAAATCAACTCCCAGTCTGCTCCAGGATCAAGGAGCAGCAAAGCGGGAGGGGCATAAAGTCACCTTTGCCTTCTCCCCTCTGCCCAGTACTGCTTTGCTGAACTTCTCACCTGGGCTGAAGTTTATGAGAATTAACTACATTTCATTCTAAAAAAGTGAGTAGAAATCGCATTTTTCTGAACTGTATCCCTCCTGCCTCCTGCATTGTCTACTGGGGATCTTTTGCTCCTAGTGGTTCTATGTTCTTTTCTTTATTACTCTGACCCTGGCAGGTTTGTATTGTCATCATTAGAGGGTTTTTACCTTGAGTTTATTGATTGCCACTGCACTCAAGGTGGTTAACAACTTTGCAAATGCTAGTCTGGATAATCCTCAAATGGCTGGTTCCCCTAGGGTTCTAGCTTGGACTATATATTTGGGGAGTGTCCAGAGTTAACTATAAAAAGGTGTTTACCTCCAGTTAACTGGCAATCATTTGACTTCAGGCATAAAGACAAAGCTACAACACTTCTAACCCTCCTCCCCCCCTTTTTTTTTCCACAGCATCCCTCAGGAATGCTAGCCACTACGTTGCAATTTCCCCCTAAAAGTCATTGCTACATTTATTTTATTACTGTTTAAGGAATATTTTAAGTGATTTTAAATGAATGCATTTGATGTTAAATGTGGCTATGTAATGCTATTAATAAGATCTAATATACCTTTTAGAACATAGTACAGAAATCTTTTAAGAAAAATTCTTTTCTACTTAAGTGGCTCTGCATTGCAGCACCTAAGTGTGAGAAATTGCTCTTCTTTATTTTATGCTTCCTCAAGTTCCTCATCATATGTTCTTGACCTGATGCTGTTTCATTTTGCTGTAGCAGTAATGAAATATCCCTCTTGACTCCTATTGTGTTACTTAGATTAATTTTAAAGAGTGAGGGTCAAGTTAGGACCAATGTTCTCTCTCTTTTTCTTTGTTCTCTCTCCTCTTGCTCACCCCATTCTCTCTCCTCCTTCTTTCCCATCCACTGATGCTTCCATCCACCCACATAGGCATATGCGGTCTCCCATTCCCAGGCTCACTTCTCCAAACACACATTCCAGTTAAGAGCTCCTGGGCATAGGCGGCGACTTCATGGGTGCTCCAGGGCTGGAGCATCCATAGAAAAAAATTAGTGGGTGCTTAGCACCCACCAGCAGCCAGCTTCCTCCCTCCCCTTCAGTACCTCCCACCCACCGGCAGCCCCGTCAATCAACTCCTCTCCCTCCCTCCCAGTGCCTCCCACGTGCCATGATCAGCTGTTCCATAGCATGCAGGAGGTATGCTCGGGGGAGGGGGCAGAACTGGGCAGGAAGAGGCAAAGTGGGGTCAGGAAGAGGTGGGGCAGGAGTGGGGTAGTGGGGGAAGGGGTGGAGTGTGCAGGCCTGGGGCAGAGCAGCAGCTGAGGACCTCAGGGGAAGGAGGAACTCCTAGGGCACTCCATTCCTGCTGAAAAAAGAACATGTGACACCTGGCCTGTGCGGCTCCCCTTGCATCCCTCTTCTGAAAGAAGAGCAGTTGCATCTAGGTCACTCAACTTCCCCCCTTTCTGTCTCAAGATTCCATTCCAATGAGCTGCTCTGCTCCTAAGCTTACCCCCTTACCTTGGACTAGGCCCTGCCCATTTAATGTCCCTTTTCTAGCACTCCCTGACAGGAAGCAACTGTAATGCTTAAAGGCAAAAGTATGTGAACTGGAATGGCTGGTAATGGCAGCAGACCATGACAACATAGGCACGAGTAAAACATGGTGGAAAGGCAAAAATCAATGCGATACTGTAATACTGGACTATATACACTATACAGGACAGTCTTTTGAGGTTGTGGAGGTAGGAGCATAGCATAATCCCTTCATCTCATGACTCTGACCCTTAAATTAGCAATAATGCACAAACATGGAAATATTCTAACCTATTTTGTTTTTGTCCTTCTTAGGGCTTACTTGTTGCAACTATATTCTGCTTTTTCAATGGAGAGGTAAGCATGTGAAGTTCATCAACTGTACTGAACCACATTCAGCCTCTTAAAGTAGTTGGACTGTTGTTCACAATCAACATAACTAGAGCACTATAAATCTGTATTTTACATGCCCATATTTTTTTCCTTGCAACATCACTGGAAGGTACTTGAGTTAGGACTATGATCTTTACAGAGCAGATGGTGGAAAATGAGGTCCAGGGGATGAGGTCCTCACTCTTTAGCCTCTCAATTTAATTTAAGTCAGAGGAAAGACAAAAATAGGTTGAATTCTATATCAGCCTCCTTCACGTACCAGCTTCTGCCTCCAATTCAGAATAGTGGGATGATTGGTTAAAATAATCAGCAGTGAAATAGTCAATGGTGCTAATATGTGAATTTTGACCATTAGACACCATTATCGACACCCTGTTGAGATTAATGGAAGTCCTGCAGATCTCCCAGAGCTTTTATTTCTATCTATATCCATAAACCTAGAAACTATTTTTTAATCATAGCTTTTATCCTGCAAAAAAGTAATTGAGTTCCCAGAGAAATGCTGTCATGAACGACCACAGTATACTGTCTCAGTCCAACCGCTGACCTTAAAAGTTAACTTGCTTGTCTAATTAAACTGAGCGATACAAACTCTCTGCATCATATATTCAGAGAAACAGTTCTGTGTCATTACGAAGTGCCATTTCATTCACTCATTTGAGGATCAGCATTGGCCTGTTAAGGTTTATGATTTGTAAGTAGTAATTGAAAAATAAAAACCCTTGAGTAAAAGTTCTCTCCCACTCTCTGACAGCTGGATCAATATGTTATGTGCCTACTACTGCTTTTAGGTCTACTCCACTATAACAATGGTATTATAAATAAAAATAGCTTGGTAAGACACATCAAGAGCTGCTTTAGTATCTACAAGGAGCCACTTTCTGAAAGCAGGTTAGCAGAAAAATACTTTGAAACATATTGGGAGCATTACCATGAAACGCTGTTGAAATTAAAACAAGGTATTTCTTGTAAAAATTGTGTGCATTTGAAGAGTTCAGTTTTCAGCATTGTGCAAAGGGAGATGGGTACGCAACTTCTTTCAACAAAAATCAAGACTCAGTATGTTATCCCTTAAAGCTACACACATCTGTACATACATTAATGACTAATATGGCTGGTGTAATAACATGGATCAAAATTAACTGGATAATCAATGGGAATAATTACACAATATTGGCCATACTTTTAAGCAGGCCTCCAACTGCAGGAGCAAATAACTGTGGGAATAACTTTGTGTATGAATTTAGGCTATCTGAACCATAGAAATGAAGGGCTCAATGGGACCTCAGGAGGTCAGTTAGTCCAGATCATTTAGACACTGAGGCAGGATTAAGTATACTAGATTATCCCCAATATAAATCCTGGATAGAGTCCCAAAATCAAAGACATAGAATCTAAATAGACTAAGGCAGGGGTGGCCAACCTGAGCCTGAGAAGGAGCCAGAATTTACCAGTGTACATCGCCAAAGAGCCACAGTAATACATCAGCAGCCGCCCATGAGCTCCCCCACCCTGCTCCCAGCGTCTCTCACCCACTGGCAGCTCCTCCCTGTACCTCCTGATCAGCTGTTACGTGGCCTGCAGGAGGCTCTGGGGAGGAGGGAGGGAGGAGTGAGGGCACAGGCAGGCTCAGGGGAGGGAGTGGGAAGGAGTGGAGTGGGGGAAGGGCCTGTGGCAGAGCCAGGGATTGAGCAGTGAGCACCCCCTGGCACATTGGAAAGTTGGCACCTGTAGCTCCAGCCCCGGAGTCAGTGCCTATACAAGGAGCCGCATATTAACTTCTGAAGAGCCGCATGTGGCTCTGGAGCCACAGGTTGGCCCCCCTGGACTAAAGGCTAGATCCATCAAAGGACTTTGGTACCTAACTCCAACATTTAGGCACCACTGAGATCCTCAAACTCCCTGCTCAGCCACTGCCTAAAGTAGTAGGCACCCAAAGTTACTAGTGGTGCAATCCACAAAGGTACTTTGGTGCCTAAGTCCTGTTTTTAGGTACCACTGTGACCCACAACACTCCCACTTGCCTGCTGCCTAACCCTGCAAGCATCTAAATTCACTTGGTGCATAAGATTTGCAGTAAAGATTCCCTAAGCACCTATGTTTCTGAGCATGCACACTGGTCCCTCACTCTAGGTGCCTAAGCCACAGAGTGATTCACAAACCAGGGAAGACAGGCATTAGTCCAACTAACTTGCATGTGGGAATCCAATCCAGTAGGGATGCTCAGCGCCTGCCTACCAGATCGAGTCCCTCAGGCAAGTTCACACAAAACAGCTGGGGGTGGGGCAAGGAGGAGGATTCTCTTATAATCTGTAGGCTAGCAGCTAGGGCAGTGACCCACAATATGGTAGTCCCCAGTATAAGCCCCCCTTCCTCCTGCAGGGGAGAAGGGATTTGATCAGGGTTTGGCTATATCTCAGGTAAGTGCCCTAATCCCTGGGCTACATTGTCATTCTACCTGTTCACTGGCCCAATTAACATTTAATTATACAATTAATTAAATAAAGTGAAACCACTTCAATAGTAGAGATGGACGGAGACCCACACCAGAATATTGCATAGACCTGTGGTTAGGGTATTCAGTTAAGAAGTGGCTGATCCCTGTTCAAATCCCTTCTCCCGCTCAGGTGGAACGGGGATTCCCACTTCCTAGGATCTTCCTAGGAACTACCCTATCCACTAGGTTAACGATTACAAAGGATGTCCTACACACACACAGCTGTTTTGTTTTGGGCTTCACATGCACTGTAGGTGGCTGAACGCCTATCTTCCCCTCGTTTGTAGATCACCGGCAGAGATCGGTGCCTCCTCGGAGCCCAGACTGAGGCACCTAGCACCGTGAGAGGGGCCGGGCTTAGCACACACTCCTCTGGTCAGCGTCTCCAGAGGCTAGCTTAGGTGGCGCCCGCCCTCACGTGCTGGCTTTATAGACCGGAACCGCAATCAAAGTTGCCTGTCTTTCCCCACTGACTGTAGAGGGAGCCCAGAAACCTAACTAAGACTTTGTGGATCACAGCATTGGTGATTTTCTAGATGCTTAAAAGTTAGGTGCTGCAATGCGCTGCAACACCTAAATCCCTTTGTGGCTCTCACCCAAGGTGCCTAAATTTCTGCCAGTGCGCATGTAGACAGCTGCCTCAGGCGAGGTGCAGGGGTGCCTATCTCACACCGAAGATGCAGCAGGATGCTCAAAGTAGGTGTTCCCCTGCCTATATAGCTTGCTAGTCCCATCCAGTAGGCGTACTCAGCACACACCGAATACCCCTAAACAAATAGAAGTGGTGGTGCCCAACCCCACCCTTGCCTTTTAGCCCACTGATTAGAGCTGGGCTGAATGTGGGAGACCTAGGTTCAATTCCCCCCTCAGCCTAATATGGAGAAGGAATTTGAACTAGGTACCTGCCCCCCTGGGAAAATGCCCTTACCCCCTGGACCATGGGGGTACTCTGGAGCAGAGTTCTCTCAGTCTCTCCTGTTGAAGCTGTTCCACTTTGTATGAATAATTAGTCACTGGAGCAGGGTGACTGTAATCTGCATCTGCTCCCTCCCAGGTGAATGCCCTGACCAGTGGGCTATCCTCTCTCTGGGCCAATGCATATTTAATGATTTATACACAGTGGAACTCTGGTAATCAGCTTATTCCTGGTTTCCAAGTATAACAATGAAGTTGTGCCCTGTGTGTCCTTGTAAAAAATTACAATGTCGTCATAGATAATACATTGCAAAGTTTTGTCACTCGTAAATTAGATAAGACATTAGCTGACAGAGTATGAATTATTATATGATTTACTAATTTACGCATAATGTGGTATTAAGCAGAAAATCAAAGGCCAAGTTTCAGGAACATTACTAAGTATGAACTATACATCACAATTTTCTTATTTTCATACAATATGTACATAAAATTAGGAATCAGAATGAATACATTCATATTAAGGAATTATACCATATTCATTTCACTACTCAAAATTCTTAATACTCAGGTCACTCAGTTTCTCCTGCCCATTCATAATTTAGTGTTTGCAATACGTGGTTAGTAATGTAGACACTATTAACTTCTACAAGAGTTCCATTGCAATTCAGGTCCAGTAAAATGATCTATTATTTAAAATAAAGTGTCTTGAAAAAAGCCAAACATCCAGAATATTTACATTCTTTGGAAATGTTAAAGTTTCCCATTGGCTTCCCTGTTGCTAATTTAAAGCAAGTCAATTACTGTACCAATATCTTCATCAGATCCAGATTCTGGACACCACAAAGTTCAGTGGGTGTTTGGATCTGGCATTCTGTGTTGGCCCATTCAGCCCACTGTTTTGATAATGGCTATTTGTAAAATGCGGATCCCTCTCTGGGCTCAGATTTCAATCACTGGAGAAGAGTGATGCTTCATGCATTCTTCCAGCACCCAGCTAAACTGCTGGTAGTAGGAGACATCCATAGCTGTTAGTGAGTTCCCCAAAGGAGGGAGATCTCTGTCCTCTTTGATGACTTCACACCTGACATCTCCAGGACCAGCTTCATAATACCGTGGTTAGTTGAGAGTTGCTTCCTCAGTGTTCAGCCACTCTAAGAATCTTCATTGTCTGACTGATTGTCACTCAGCCAGAAGATCCAAATCACTGTGGGGATATCCGGGACACAGTGAACAGTCAGAACATACACTCACTGAATCCCTAGTCCCCATACTCTTATTGATGTGTATGGTGGTCAGCAGAGGAGTAGTCACATACTGTCTCCTAGTGACTGAGTATCCTCCTCTGAATTGCCAGCTTGGAATGAAACAGGAGGCAGCTCCATGGCTCTAGCACACCTAGCAAACCTGGACATCACAGAGGCATGTTTGGACTAAATAAAGCCTAAAAGTAGATAAGAAATAGGGCCGGAGATTGAAAAGTGGCTCCCAATTTTGCATCTACGGTGTTGCTCCCCTAAATAATTGTATGTGCATTCTATCACTTGGGTGT